CTAACGTGCTGGTAGTCAGCTCTGCAGGGTTACAGACTTATGTGTACCTAAGTAGCTAATAACAGTACGAGGATGCATAGAAACTGCACAAGAGAGGCAAGACTAGCATTCAATTGTTACTCCCTTTTCTAGTGACTTGTCTTCGCTGGATTCGTAGGCCTTGCGAACACCTCATGAAGGGAAAGGGTAGAGGAAGAAGTCTGTCTTATAATGGGTTGATCCTTGTGCATGCAAGCAAACAATTTCTGTATATAACTGCAAACAGTATTATACGCATGCAGAGAAGAAGGATGCTTGCATATGCATTGTCTCAGCTGCAGCAAGCTGCATCTCAAGGCAGACATGCCGCCACCTCTAATGTATCCATCTCCTCAGTCTGTAGTCTGGCTCTCGTCAGCAACAGTAAGCCTATTTATATAACTTATGCTTGCTTGCCTCTTTATAGCACGAAGTCTTGGGCTCAATTTATCTATTTATACAGGCAAAAAGTCTCTAGAGAAAAATCAGCAAAAAATATCTTCGTGTGTACAGACTGTCTAAGCTTTGTTACACAAGAGGTAAGGGAGGAGCAAAGGAGATTGCAGCACATAAATAAAATATTGCTGCTGCTGCTGCTGCTGCTGCTGCTGCTGCTGCTGCATAGCAGGTCAAAAATGCAGACATAAAAAGTGTCCCTCTTGGTGCATGCATACACACTTAGATGACTACCCAGCCTACGCCAGTGCACAAATGTATATCTCTAGCAGAGAGGTCATGCAGCAACAGCAGCAACGTATAAAGGGGTGCATGCACTCTACAGCAGCAGCAGCAGCAGCAGCAGAAAGCCCTTAAGTCAGGCACATGTGTTAAGGAGGCATAAGAGCCAACTATACAGGCTGCTGCTCTTTTTAGACTTTTTATTGTATTATTAATTTATACACCACAAGGACAGGAGAGTTATTATTGCCGAGTGTACAGACAGTTGTAGATATGCCAAGACACGCGGCTGCAGCTGACGCCCTTATGCGGGCTGCCTATGCTGCTGCTGCAGCTGCTGCAGCTGCTGCAGCTGTGTTGTTGGTCGTGCCTATGTTGTGGCTGCTGATGCCTGTGCTACTGTTGGTGGCTATGCTCACTCTGCTGCTGCTGTTGCTGCCTCGACTGTCTCTGCTTCTGCCCCTGCTGCTGCCTCTGCAGCTGCTGTTGCTGCCTCTGTTGGTGCTGTCGCCTCAGTTGCTGCTGTTGCTGCTGTTGCTGCTGCCAGACAACTGGGCAGAGTTAGACACATCCTCTAGTTAGACATGAGCAGCAGCAATAAATAAATAATTATTTATTTAATTATATAAATATATAATTAAATAATAATAATAATAAATAAATAATAATATTAATTGCTGCTGAAGCAATTAATACGAGCAAGAAAGTTAGTTGCTGCAGCAACAGCAGCGAGGCGCTGCCGCTGCATGCAGCAGCAACAGCAGCAGCAGCAGCAGCAATGTGCTCGGGGCTGGTGTCTCTGCATAAAAGAAGAATAAAAAAATATTTTTTTTATTTAATTGAGGAATTATGAGTTAAGAGAAGAAAGTTATTTATTTATTGCTGCTGCTTCCTCTTTACTGGAGCAGAAACAGACCTGCAGCAGCAGCAGCAGCAGCAGCAGCAGCAGCAAGAGCAGTAGCAGCAGCAGGAGCAGCAGCATTCTTCTCCTCCTCCTCATGGAACAACAACAACAGCAATACCAACAGCAACAACAACAGCAACAGCAACAGCAACAGGAGCAGGAAGAGACAGCAGCAGCAGCAGCAGCAACAGCAGCAGCAGCAGCAGCAGCAGCAGCAGGACTCGTCCCCTTTGTCTATCCTATGTTACCCCTCAATACATAAACAGCGAATGGGGAGATTTGTATATACATAAACAAATATTAGGGGCAATAAGTATACATATACCTGCCTATACACCTGAACAATATGCATGCACATGCATGCAACAGCAGCAGCAGCAGCAGGAGCAACAACAGCAGCAGCAACAGCAGCAGCAGCAGCAGCAAGAAAAATGTACTTGTAAAAATACACAAAAAAAACAAGAATTTGCATGCAGAGTGCAGCAAGAAGCAGCAGCAGCAGCAGCAGCACTTAATCGTGCTGTTGCTGCTGATTACCCAACAGTATTAACTAAGACACTATTTTGTGTCTTACCTGCTGCTGCTGCTGCTGCTGCTGCTGCAGGAGCAGCAGCAGACACAGCAGCAGCAGCAGCAGCAGCAGCAGCAGAAAAGGAGGGCATAAATATAGTATATCTACCTCCCCTTGTCTATCATATATTAACAGATGCAGCAGCATGGCGGGTGGGCCCCTCGGGGGCCCCCATGCCTGCTGCTGCTGCTGCTGCTGCAGTAGTTGGTGCCCTAGAGGGCCCCATGCATGCATTTGCTGCTGCGCTGCTGCAGCAGATGGGGGCCCTCATGATGCGTACACCTGAACAATGTAGGCTTCTTGTTACCCCTATAGATGGTGCGCTGCTGTCTGCTGCTGCTGCTGCTGCTGAGGAAAAAACAGCAGCAGCAGCAGCAGCAGCAGCAGCAGGTGTTAGTGTTGGTCCTGCTGCAGCAAGAGGTATGGGGCGTCTTATAGCAGCAGCAGATATCTCGGGTGTACAGGCAGGTCCTGCTGCACTGCAGCGGCTGCTGCCCTCGCGCCTACAGAAGCAAACAGCAGATCTGCTGCTGCTGTCGGGGGCCCCTGCTGCTGCAGCACAACTGTACCTTGCTGCAGCAGAAGCAGCAAGGGCCCATGGAGATGTTATATGGCAAGCAGCAGCAGCAGAGGGGCAAGCAGCAGCAGTTTATTCATATATACAGCCTATGCTGGGGGCCCCTAGGGGGGGCCCCAGGGGGCCCCCTCATAGACCCTCATCTGCATCCCCTTCTTCTGCTGCTGCTGCTACAACTAGGGACGATTCTGCTGCTGCTGCTGCAGCAGGAGCAGCAGCAGCAGCAGCAGAATCGGGGGACAGAGACCCTACGGTGGTGCGTAGCAACTCTTTACCTTCTTCTTCTTCCTCCTCCTCATCTGCTGCTGCTGCAGCAGCAGCAGCAGCAGCAGCAGCAGCGTAGACATCGTCGCCGTCACCAGGGACAGCTGCAGCTGCAACACGAGCAGCAGCAGCAGCAGCAGCAGGAAGGAGAAGGGGAAGAGGAGCAGCAGGAAGAAGAGGAGCAGCAGCAGCAGCAGCAGCAGGAGGACACAGAATTTCGCTCTTACTCACCTGATGAGCTGCTGCTGCTGCTGCAGCAGCAGGAACAGCAGCAGCAGCAGCACCAGCAGCAGAATGGCCCAGCAGCAGCAGATAATCAGCAGCAATTCTTCCCTGCATGCAGAAGTTTATCACCATACTTTCCTATTCCTTATAGACCTTATACACAGCAGCAATTCTCCCTCAGCAGCAGCAGCAGCAGCAGCAGCAGCAGCGGCAACATGTATGTAAAGGCCTTATGGCATATTGTATGTGAGCTACAAGCTGCAGCAGCAGCAGCAGAAGGAGGCTATGGTTCTGCTGCTGCTGCTGCTGCCATAGGCATGCATCCTCACTGTCAACACAGCAGCAGCAGCAGCAGCAGCAGCAGCAGCAGCAGCAGCAGCAGCAACAGCAAAGCCTTACGAGACTTTTTAGAGAATCAGCAGCAACGTATCCGTTTTATGCCTAACCATCTAATATGCAGCAGCAGCAGCAGCAGCAGCAGCAGCAGCAGCAACACTAGCAGCAGCAATAGTATATGCTGTAGCCTAAACAGCAGCAGCAGCAGCAGCAGCAGCAACAGCAGCAGCAGCAACAGCAGCAGCAGCAGCAGCAGCAGCAGCAAGAATAATAATAATAATAATAAAGATGTATTAATGTATAATCCTTACCGTAATAATAATATAAATAATAATATAAATAATAATATAAATAATATAAATAATATAAATAATATAAATAATATAAATAAGAATAAATTATGTGGTTATTTATTGTCTCCTTTTATATGGATAAAAGGAGACACATATACAGTACAAATATCTATAAAAAATAATTTATTAATAGATATAATTATTGATTGTTGTTCCTTATTAACTACAGGAGCAGCAGCAGATATTTATCCAGTTACTGTACTTATTCCTCCTTCTCCTCTACATCATGTTACTTTTGAGGTAATTTGTTTGCTGCTGCTCCTCCTGCTGCTGTTGCTGCTGCTGCTGCTGTATTATGCTGCTGCTGCTGCTGCTGCTGCTGCTGCTGTTTTTGATGGGTGCTGCTGATTATTATTATTCATGGTGCTGCTGCTGCTAGCAGCAGCAGCAGCAGCAGCAGATGTTTATCCTGTTAACTGTTCTTATTCCTCCTCCTCCTGTATATTTGCTGCTGCTGCTGCTGCTGCTGCTGTTGTTGTTGTTGCTGCTGCTGCTGCTGGTGTGGTGGTGATGGTGGTGGGGTTGCTGTCTCCGTTTTGTATCTCTTTTCTTTTGTCTCCTTTTTTTTGTCTCCTTTTTGTCTCCCTTACTAATTGTCTCCTTTTCTTTGTGTCTCCTTTTTGTCTCTTTTTTTTTTGTCTCCTTTTTGTCTCCTTTTTGTCTCCTTTCTTTTTTTTTTTTTTTTTTT